TTCACCATGTTGACCAGGATGGTCTCGATCTCTTGACCTCGTGATCCACCCGCCTCGGCCTCCCAAAGTGCTGGGATTACAGGCTTGAGCCACCGTGCCCGGCCAATCAGATTTTTTCTTACTTCTAGTGATAGCTCAGAAAGAAAAACAAGGGAGTCTTTTTTACTCTTAATAAACCGTTAATATTAATTGCAAAGTAGAAAGAATAGGTCAAAAATTCTGTACTTATGCCCCTAAATTATAAAATGAAAAAACCTTCTATCCCTCCCAAGAAAACATGATCCAATATTTGATCCATTTATCTCTTTATCCACTTCTCCATTTCTACAAGCTACCTATGTTAACACACATTACAGTTTTCACAAAAGAAAGCATCTGCTCAGACCATTCATCAGAGGATCTTGGAAATAACCAGCAAAAGAACCACATTCTGAGAGCAAATTATGTTGCATTTAACCTTTCCTCTAACCCACTCCTACTCACCCTGTCTAGTCATGATTTCCAGAAGGAACCAAGGGTGATAAGGCAAATCTGGGCCTGCCTCTCTCATCTCTGGTCATTCTTCATGGGACCAGAAATAAAGCCTAAATAAAGATGACTAAGGAGAGCTCATGCTAAACTCATAAGAAAGTTTAGTTGAGCTACTCCTATAAAGTCACACAAAAAAATAACTGCAATGTACTAATAAGATGCAATGTATCAAATAGGATAATAAGATCTCTTGGAACTGGCACTATTTGTATCTAAGATAGAAGTTGGGGAAGAAATGAAGGGTAAAGGATGTATCAGGGACAAAGAAAAAACGGGCTTGCTAAAAATCCCCAAAAAAAAAGGAATAGAGCAGCGGACACTCCAGTACTGTAACTATCTAAGTTCAAGACTGGTGAATGATGGGTTGTATCGGAGTTCCAACACTGTGTATGAGTTGGTATTAAAGATAAAGAAAACAAGTGAAACCCATCTCTACTAAAATACAAAAATTAGCTGGGCATGGTGGTGGGCGCCTATAGTCCCAGCCACTTGGGAGGCTGAGGTAGGAGAATCCCTTGAACCTGGGGCAGAGGTTGCAGTGAGCTGAGATCATGTCATTGCACTCCAGTCTGGGTGACACAGCAAGACTCCAGGTCTCAAAAATATAAACAAATAAAGATAAAACAATAGACTACACAAAAACAACACTGTATCACCTACTAAGTATTTGTAACAAAAAATGTTTAACCTGAATTGAATCAACTCTTTACATCTAACTTCCAGTTTATGGGGTAATATAGAGGACAGTGTAACAATAATATTGTAAGGAAGTCATCAGACAAAAACTAGAAGGCAGCTCATGCTATGTGCCAAAATCTCTTCAACGGTTTAATATGGTAGATAAATTAAAAAGTAAAGGCAGTGGGCTAAGTTTTAATGTAAAAAAGACTTAAGACTAAAAGACAGGCTGGGCGTGGTGGCTCACAGCTATAATCCTAGCTCTTTGGGAGGCTGAAGCAGGTGGATCACCTGAGGTCAGGAGTTCAAGACCAGCCTGAGCAACATGATGAAATCCTGTCTCTACTAAAACTAAAAAAAATTAGCCGGG